GCCGAGCAGCGATATAAAATTGGCTCCTATTTAATTCCTCAGAAGAAAGTTATTACACATTGTTGTTGAGTTTCCTATGCAATTTAATGGCTCTATAATACTTACAGAAAAGATTTAACTAACCTTCTTCCACTTACAATTAATTTCTTTTCCTCCCAACGCTCTGACAGTTCAGTGAACATCCGTACGGGAGCTTGATAGCTAGGGCAGCTATGGCTAACCGCATCGCAACGCTGAACGTGTGTTGTCAAGGTTGAAGGAGCAGCAGCTCTCCAGGCTGCCTGCTACCGTGTTTCCTTTATTTTTTAGGGAGAAGAAAAGTTCACAAAAGAATGCCCTTGGATTATATGGCAGGTTGGCTGACCACCCTCCTCCTCCACCCTCATCCCGCTGACCTTTCTTCCTGGTGCAGGCAGGTCAGGCAGGTGACTCCAGGACACGTACCAATCCTGTACAGCCAGAGGTGGGCCATGCATGTCTTCATCCCCTGTTAATTTTCCCGGACTTTTCCTAAAAATTACTGCTGGGAGATGTGGCCTTTAAACTGGCAGCAGCAGCCAGAAGTGGGAGTTTCCTGGAAGTAAAGGTTCCTGAAAGTAAAAGGCAATTAAAGAAATTTCATCTGACAAAGGTGATTAATGACTATTAGTTCCAGCGATTGATGCGGTGAGGTACAACTGACCAAGTGTCCAAGCGATTTTTGCAATGCAGTGATTTGAGCTGCTTTGTTCGCCAGGGGCTCATCGCCGTTTTACTCTTGGATCCCTTATTTTAGCTGCACTGGTATGGCGGCGAACCGGGACACCAGTGACGTCATGGTGAACATGATACGGGCATCACTATGGGCTCTATATGGGAACAGTGGGGTAAAACACCCATGGCAAAGTCTGCATCCCCACTGTGATATGTCCTGGCTGAACATCATGAAACTGCCAGCATATTCATCAAATTTAAAAGAGGTGGCCAAAGAGGTCTTTAAATCACCATTATTTTCATTAACACTGAAGTACCGAGGAAGTTGCAGAAGACTGGAAAGAGAGCTGAAGTTGTGCCAGTATTTTAAAAGGGCAAATTGGGAGAGCCAAGTGTTTATAAGGCTAATACTGTTACTGATTTACAGCTTTAAATTGATCCTTGGCAAAAATGTGGAACAGTTGATAAAGGACTCAATGAATAAAAAATTACAGGAAATAAATATAATTAAAATAAATCACATTGATGTCTTTCTTTGATTGCAGCACATGGTTCATTGCTGACGGCGGTATAAAGTATTCACTCCTCAGTAATGAATCTGACTTGACAACACTCAACACTTCCATGAAAAAGTGAAGAAGAAATCAATATGAGGTTCAAACTGTCCAATATTTGCTAATGACTCATAGACTGAAAAGGTGTAAATACAGAAAATGAAGTCACTTGTACAGAGAAATGAGGATGCAAACCAGCCGGGAGCATTTTAGCCCAGCGTGAGGGAAAGGCACACTCGCAGGAGCAGCGGGATGGGACCCTTGTCGCAGGCGGGGAGGCATGGCCCCGTCAGGGTGCATCAGGAGCTGCACATACGGGTCTGTTCAGCTTTTTGGGGAGAAGAAGACTGATTTGTTACCTGTGCACGGCCTGTGTCCAGCTATGGATTTTATTCTGGTCACTGGAGGGGAGGCTGGGATTTCAGTTCATTGCCTTTTCGCTGTTCCCGCTCTCCACGCCGCTGCCGGGCAGTCAGC